GGTACTACCAAAGGAAAGAGATAACAGATAAAAGTGTATGTCCCAGTATGTCCCAAATTGTAGTATGTTGAAAAGAGTTTGCCAAAGGTTCCCGGATGGTTTACTATTTCCAGTAAAAACATTTAAGTGTAGAAGCATCCATGCAATGCACATTGGACGTGAATTTGATTAGAACTACAAACGCGGGTAAAAAGTGTAAATAAACTACAAACATGATGGACACGCGAGACCAACCATCAAGTAGAGAGGCTTCAGTAAAGATGTTTGCATGATTGTTAGTTAATATCTAGCCAACTGAAAACTATTTAAATGTGTTTTCTGTGTTATATTTCATCTGCAACAACAATGTGAACTTCTATCAAGATTTGTTTGGACATTAACTTCTAAATGCATAATTACCCAAAGATCTGAGGAGATTTCTCTGCATGAAAGACTCGCTGGTGGCAGATTATCCTGCTGCTGCTTCTCCAATAAGGTAGGAAATTAAATATGAAATAAATGTGGACGATGTGGATGATTGACCGAGGAAGTAACTAAGTACCATAACAATCTGTTACAGAGGACGTAGTATGTCTCAAAGCTTGCATACTCTTTAGTTACACACTCAAAAGTATAAACTTTTCCTTCACAAAAAAGCACATACTTTTAGGGCATATAAATATATGAAATTGGGACGCAGCAATGTGTAACAATAAGCTGTTGAACAGAAAATAAGGGGAAAATATTACTGTTGTAATCTCTTTAGGAAACATTGTGACCAATCAAAGGCTTCCAGTGGGTGTATATTAACAATACTTTGAGTGTTTTGTTCTGATTGGCCGGTTTTTCACAAAGAGAACAATGAAACAATGGTATATGAGACTCATGGTATAGTGAAGTATCCAGATATTCATTCTATTGCACCTTTAAGATGTGCTTTGCTTGAGGAGATTACAATAGACCAAAGAGACCAGAGAGTTTTAATGCATCTCTTTTGTTCACTTTCATCTTTCCTGATGTCTTTGATGGAAAGGTCTATGGTCGATTAGGCTTTTTCTGATCTTTCCATGTAGCACTGCAAAATAAGCTCATGCAATTTACATTTGAATGAAAGAAGAGTAGAGTAGCAGCTTTTATTCCTGCTCTGACTGCCACAAAAGTACAGAAGGTGGTTTGAACTGAAAACCAAAAGTCATGATTTTTACATTTTTAATTCAAACCTATGATTTCAGCTGGACAGAAGTCTTGTCTGGCTTGTGGACTTTAAACATTTGGTCAGACAGTAGGTGTTTTTATGAATGTTTGAATGCATTTGACCACATTAGTGTTTAATATCAGTGGTAAGTGGTAATGAGTTTTTATTTGGCCAGGCATCCTTTTCTCTTTTTTGACCTTACATCCACACTAAGATGGAATTATTCTTAAATGGTCACAAAACACTAAAATACAATTTTTGAGGAGTCAGTCATATACTGTGTATATCTGTGCTAAAAACACTATTATGACACATATTTAGCTAACAAGTTTTTGCGTTGTATAGAGCAAATTCGTTCTTCCGGTTTAAAAATAAATTTTGAACCTGCGTCACAGCCATGAGATCATTGTGTAAGCTAAAATTGGCTGTCTGTACCGTAACAAGTAGTAGAAGAATTGTTTGGAGACTTGGGTCGTCAGTGTTGCATTTATAAATATGCCAAAAAGATTATGTGTGGACGCAAGCAGTTGGATTACAGTGGTCTGCTAACACACAACAAAAATATGTTTGTAAGGAACATTTTGTACCTGAGAGCTTTTCACATCTGAAAATGGTGCAGTCCAGATTTGATACACATATACTTTTTAATAAGACACAGTTCCACTTTGTGTTGATTGTCCTGTCTCTACCAATTTAGTAAGTGTGTGATCAGTGTTCTTTGTTTATGTTTATTCAGATGGCAAAGTTAGTTAGTACTTACAGCAGTAGTCTTTCAAAAATTGACTACTACTACCGAGTCTCTGCATCTACTGAGAAATGCAGAGGATTTTTTTTTCTCCTATTCGGTGTGCAGTATTAAAAATTCCATTAAAACAAGACTCTTCCAGCCTCCAATATCTTGTTTGTCACAGTTGGGAATGCATGAAATGTTCCCCAATGAAAGTGAAAGTGCCAAACTGCGATTAAAGTCGACAAATTAAGAATGAAACACAAGAATGGAACGGACTTTTGAAAACAATTTCATACATTTCCACATAAATGGATCAATTCAACAAACTTCCAAATCCATCTCTCTCTCTTTCTTTTTTCCTGTAAATTCAAGCTATTTGTTCCCCATACCTGTTGTGCTGTGCTTCTACAAAACAACACTGCTGTCAGAAAGCAAGGATTTTCACACCTCATGCAATATGTCATTGCGGGGACAAAAGAAGAACTGCTGACTTTGTGCCAAGAAGAACTATTTTTAATGTGTGATTCTCAGCTATCACATTTCCACGGATTCCACTAACACCTGTCTCTGCTCACTAAAGATTTTTCATCAGATGTAGCTGATTTAAAGAGATAAATCATTACTGGTTTCTGAAGTTGAGTGTTTTTATAGTAGATGATATAATAGAATGCACACATCACTGGTATCACTTATGCAGATTTTTCTTATCTGACTGCAATATATTCCTACTATACAATATGTGTTTCTGGTCAGGTGTTAATCAGACTTCTAGAAACATCATTGTTTTTCTATTTAGAAAGTAGGGCCAATGTTAAAATGTTAAAAACATGTTTATCAGATGTGTTTGTAAACGATAGATATTTTCACTTGAAATGTTCTTGCACAGTCATCTTGATTGCAGATAAATGTTCTGCACAAGAAGAACTGGTCTGAAAAATACAACATTAGTTTTGCTTCATAAGATAAAGGTTTGACCACTGATTGGCAATTGTAGACTCCATTAGTGACAGATTGTTAATCTTCAGCAAAAATATGGGTTGCAGAAGTGAGACCATTACTGTCATTTCCTCAAAATTGCATTAAGGAGATAAATAAAACCCATTCCCAACTGCCTGATTCCATTTTTTATGACTCACATGCTTGTTTTTCCCAAACCAAAATTCTTAATAACTTTCAAAAAGGAAATAATATCTGCTTTTATTTGATTGTTTTCCTTAATTAAACCTGTTATTGCACATGATTTTGCAAATAACATATCCATCAATCAGAGAAGTGAAAATTTATTACGACAAAATCTCTATTGTGTTTGCCTATGTGCATCCATAGATATATACACTAGATATCACATACGGACCCTGAGCATGTGTCAATAGCGCCGTTGTACAGGACTCCCAGGACAAATGTCATTCAACTGCACTAGTCAAGACTAATGCCAATGTGAAGATGCTGGACTAGCGCTGTGCACAGGTGTAGTAACAACAAAACAAAGCACAAAGGCAGAACATTTCATAGGTAAGATTTTTTTTTTCTGTTTTTGTATGTTAAGAACGTTTGTGCTAAACAAGTATTGATGATAATACAATCTCTTACTGCCGTCTTAGGCAAATTAGCACCTACGTGCTCTAAATGCTATAGGCTTATGCTAGTTTTGTTGAATAAAATAAGCAAACAATGTAGATGAAACAGGACAACAAGATGCTGATGTACAAGAAACTTGTATTATTGTTGGCTAAGTGAAGTAAATGCTAGTTTTTTAAATAACTTATAAGGGTGCCTGATACCATTACAGTATCTGGACATTAATTTGAATACTGTCCACCCAGAATTATTGAATATTACAAATTTTATACCATTTAGATCAGAAAGGTGGATATTATGCACATTAAAGCAGGTATATCAATAGTTCACACAAATTGTTCACAACAGAGATGCATTCACAAACGAATTGCTCCCTTAGTTGGCATTAGAAGTGGAAGTGGACGATGAAGTGTGTTTCAGGACATGGATTAGATCAAATTTAACAGGTAGGGAGGATAATACATTTCTATGGACACGAACACTCGCAATGCCCATGCAGTCACGTATCCATCTATGTGAAAAAGTGATGTAAAATTATAATTAAGCATTATTAACAATAATAAAAGCAAGAATAGAGAAATTATGTAAAGAGAAAATTGATTGATTGATTGATTGATTGATTGATTGATTGATTGATTGATTGATTGATTGATTGATTGATTGGTTGATTGATTGCAATTAAGTGTTGATGGAACACAGTATTTTTCAGCTGTCTCTCAGATATTGACAGGGATTCAAGATTCAAGGCTTGGAAATGGATTCAACCAGCAAGAACAGAACAGTGAACAAAAATGTCCTGGAAATAATTTTTTAGTCATCATATATGATATATAATAATACCTTGTGGTCATGTGCAAGTAACATAACTTTGTAAAGTTTTTAGAATGTAATATGTCGAGAAAAAAATAAGGTTACCTTGCAAATTTCCACCAAAAACAGTTCACATGGCAGGAGGGATTTCTTTGTTTATGAATCAATGGTAGAAGAAATGTTGAAGAAGTGCTGTTGATTGACTTTGTGACAACTAGTGGATTTTTTGGCATAATATAATTCAGTCAGACATAGAGTTGAATTAGGAACTTCTCTTGATAACATTAATATTATTATTAACATTAAATTAATAATAACATTAAAATTTCATTTAGACTGCTGATCGTAGGCTAAGCAACAATATCAAGTCAGTCAGAAGCCCTGGTGCTCTTTGGGTAATGCAAGAAACCTATTATGGAGGATTTTTACAATGTATGTAATTACATTATATAACCTAGAGATTTTACATAACATTATTTTATTACACATTTATCTTCTATTATTATCAGTGAAATGTTCAAGCTGTTGCTAAGCTGACTGTTTTTCCAAACCTCTGAAATTTCCTAGAGCAGTATTTATGATAGTCACGTAAGCTAATATAATGTAAGCTAGAATCAATATTCCACCTCCACACATCCCACATTTAAGGTATATGTAATACGGAGGATAAGAAGTCGTTATCACAATAATAAGGCCCAGCAGCATGAGCAGCGCTTTCCACCAGAGCGGAACTCTTGACTGCAGTGATATTTTCCACACATACAGATTTCAGAGTAACTATTTCCGGTCCGGTTGAAGTCACCTCGCACAGCCATTGTGTACAATAACTGCTGGGGGAATCATTCATTCGTTTTTCCATAAAACATCACAGTTTTTCATTATAGGTAAGCATACCGATAATATTTACAGAAATACCCACCACTAGTTTTAGCCGAAGGAGAAAAATAATTGCATTCTTTGAAGTAATGTAATTTTGCCACATTCGCATACCTAAGTTAGTTTGTTCACAGCGCAACGTTAGCTTACGTTATGATGATTGGTCTTTGTTTTAATTTATGAAATAAGTTATTTTTTTCTTTTCATATTTTTAAATGTTCATAATTTTGAATAACGCACGCATTTAGTCATACTGCGTTAAGTCAAGCGTGCTTTCAGGGTGCCCGCGGAGACCTAAAAAGATAGAGGTAACGTTAAAGTTAGTTTTATATTAGCACATTCTGACTTTCCCCTTAATAATACAGTTTCATAACAGTATTATTTGCAAACTCTAAATGGCGAAATCGTATTAGCAGCCAATGACTTTCAAAGTACAACATTGTTCCCTGTCAAATAAACAGTGTTAATGTTGTTTTCAAGTCACACTTGCATGCTAATTCCGATCGAATATTGAAAGTAACATGGTAAACATTATAGACACATCTAAATGAACAAATGTGTGAATATAAAACCAACTTTACCTCTAACAAATGTTTGAATATAAAACCAACTTTACCTCTATCTTAAAAAGTCTTATATTTCCAAAACACAATTGTAGACCTTAAAAAGTCTTAAATTTATTTAAATATGGTATTGTAGGTAAGCCTCAATAATTTTAAAACGGTCTTTAATTTTCCTTTTTTGTATCAAAGGTTACCCAATCAACCCAACACACACCCAATCATTAACAATACATCTCAATTAAACTTTTAGCAAAGCTCTATTTATAAGCAATATTATAACATCGTGTTGTGCATACAATAGTTTATTAAATTTTTTAACAGTTATTTTTTTTAAGTTATGTTGAAAAAAATGCATATATACAACTAGGGTCTGCTTTATTTGACACATTATTTAAAATATATATAATTTTATTTTTCCTGCAGGGCCATTAAAAAAAAAACCTATTGCGTTTATACCTATATGTGTCTGAAATCTCATTCTTGATGGTCTTAAAAAGGTCTTTAAAAGTTTTAAATTAGACCTGGTGAAACCTGCAGAAACCCTGGCTTTGTAAATGTGCAATACCTCTGAGCTACAACAACATGCTAAATGATCCACATTTGACTTCTTTGGTCAATTTTATCAATCTGGATTTGAATCTGCATTTATATCCCAATGCGTCTTTGAGACTAAACCGTATAGCGCTTTACGAAGCAAGAATTCAAATGGAATGCAGTCTATGTGTAGATAAAGATATGTAGTACTTGTAGAATACTGCATACTTGCATACTGTTATGCAAACACTGGAAAAATAAGTTATTTATTTTTGTTCTATGCTATTGATCAGATCTGTATTCTAGTTTGAAACATAATGCATTTATAGTTTATTTTTAAATTTGTTAATTTTATTGATTTACTTATTGCGCTACATTAAAACAAACCTGTCTCCTAAAACGGATCATAAAAGGCCCTAAATATTACTATACCGTAATAGTAGTTTTTGGAGAACAACAAAATAAGGATATTTAGACGTTTACAATGGCTAAAACACAAAATTCTTCCTATTTTTGAATCAGACATACCAATGTGTTTGTAAAATAATAATGATTTGATTATTTTTATTATTTTACAAGCACATTAGTATGTCTGATACAGTGTCATAGGGCTGCATGATATTGGAAAAATTTAACATAGTGAGTTAGATTGATTAGGATGATTGTAGGGGAGTGCATATGCATAAAATATAAACGATCTACAATTAACAAAAAAAATGGAATTATATAAACAGCGTTTTATTGTTGTTCCAGGAGTCAAACTGTGATCAGGTATACAGTAATTAAAATGTAAAATAATACTGCATAGTCTTCGTATTAGAACCAATTCAATAGAATTTGTCAAAGTTAAAAACAGTTCAATTTCTGAGGCCTGCACGCTTTTAAAACTCTCACAGACCCTTAAAAAACACTTAAAAGGATGAGTTATAATCCAAGCTCAACATAGGCCTGGGCAATATTGCAAAAAAAGGATCACAATATCAGGTTTTATATAGTTCGATATAGATAACTATTGAATATTTTTAACAGTACATTTGTGAATATTAGGATTTGTTTTATTTAACCACTTTATTTTAATTTACCAACATTACTGAGGCAAATAGTTTTAATAGTCAAGAACAAAATATTTAAACAGACTATCTGATCTCTTTATTATATAAATATAAGTGGTAAAGAAACTCCTAAACTTGATAAATAAAATGTTAAAAAGTGTACACAATGGCAAAGAGTAAACGCTGAACAATTAAAGCAAACTTTGAGGTTTACTGTATCATTATTCATACCTTAAACTCTGTCAACAAAACAAATTATGATAATCAAATCTGAGCTTTCAAGTAAAGAAACCGACCATCATTATTCAAATACATGTTACAAAATTGTGAGGTTGAATGACTTCATTACCCACTAAGCTAAAAAAAATCTTTCACATGGGGAGCTAGTGGCTGAGATGCACAAGAAAAGAAACCAGAAAGACTCTCTAGCGACATCCTTACATCCTTTTTATTTACAATCTCTTCACTGCTGCTCTATGGCACTCATTTTATGCCTGCTGTTATTCTGACCTGAAGTAACATGCGTGTGCTTTGTGTGAAGCTGACTGGTTAGCTTTAGGACTTGCGGCTTTCTTAAAGTTCTGATGTTTTTCATTTAAGTGTACCTTGAAAATGCGTGTGTTGCTTGCACACCATGTGCACATTGCTCCCATGTGCGTGTTGTGCAACTCGCGCATGCACCTTCATTGAAAACTTACACCCTAAGCTTATTGGCATTGCTTCCAAGGCACGTGCCCAGCAGCCACATCTTAATAAAACTATAACGCTTCATACCAAAACTTCTTAGCAGACATTTTTTATTATCGATATTGACAATAGTGTTTGATCAGTAAATACCGATATCCATTTTATCACCCAGCCATAATTCAACATTGCATATACTGGCAATATGGCTATTGCGAATGTTTACATTGCGATATCAATGCTGAAACGATATATTACGCAATCCTACCATGTCGCTATTATTGTCTTGTCTTTATGCAAATTTCTCTCTTGTACTTCTGGTAGGGTTATTTTTATTCAATTTTAATTGTTGTTTTGTCTTCGTGTCAGAGGGAGAGGTTTTCTAATCGAAGATGACAGACCGTTACAACATCCACAGCCAGCTGGAGCATCTCCAGTCCAAATACATTGGCACGGGCCACGCGGACACCAGCAAGTGGGAATGGCTGGTTAACCAGCACAGAGACTCGTACTGCTCCTACATGGGTCATTTCGACCTTCTCAACTACTTCGCCATCTCAGAGAACGAGAGCAAGGCTCGGGTGCGCTTTAACCTAATGGAAAAGATGCTGCAGCCCTGCGGCCCTCCAGCTGACAAACCTGAAGATGCCTAGCACACTTTGGCTGAATTCATACTGCTGCTGAAGAGATGTGCAGAAAGATCATATGGACTCATGCTGGTTGTTTAAGAACCAGTCTATGTCTACCTGTCTGTTTTTTTTAATGCTGTAATTTTTTGTGATATTTTTTTTTTTGTATTGTTGAAAAAAATAAAGTTGATACTCTTACACACATTCATTGGTTTTATTGTTTTTCTTAAAATAAAAAGCCAATAAATGGACTAAACAAAAAAGAAAAAAAAAATCATATCTTGACTTGCATCCAGTGGTGTAAAGAAACAAATTACAAATATTTTATTTTCTTAGAAATTGTAATTTACTTAATAGTTTTGCAAATGTGTACTTTCCCTTGAGTACATTTTTAGCTTAGTTTCGGTACTTTTACTCCACTACTTTTCTTCAACCTGCAGTCACTATTTCATTTTTTTTTTTTTTTTTGTCTATGGGGATTAGAAGATTCAGTCCTGTGATTCATGTCTAATCAAATCGCACAGAAGGTAAATCGCATCATAATGAACTACCTGAAGAAATGGGTGATTTATAATTGCAGCAAATTGTTTAGAAGCATTAAAAGTGTCCAAAAAGGTGCCATCTTTACACTCATTTCCCCAGAGTCTGTTTAGATGCATGTCACTGAAGAGAAGATGACAAATGTGCACTATGATGAAATGGCCAAAAACACCCAGCAGGCACAAGATGTCAACATGATGTCAGATTAGCGTACCCCAGCATTGTGGGGACGTTACATTTTGTTTCGAAATGAAAATCCAACATCCAACCAAATATCAACATCTAATGATGTTAGAGATTAACTTTTAGTGGACGTTACCAATATGATCTTTATCAGGCATTGGATTTTGGTTGCTATACCTCACAAATGTGAGTATTTGACGCTGGTTTAAAATGTTGGTTCAACGTAAAATTTTGGCCACTTTCTAACCACCTAAAGTCAACCAAATATCAATGTCAGTTGACATTGTTGTTGGACATCAAAATAACATCTCTAGACATTAAATTTTGGTCACCTCACGTAACAACCTAAATCTAACCAAATATTAACATCTTTTGACATTGTGTGCCTGCTGGACTATAACTGAATGCACTACAGAATGTAACGTTTACACACATCCACAAATGACTTGTAAATGCAACAGCTGTTTACAGTGTAATACTCACTACTCTTGAGTACTTCTGAAAGGGCTACATTTTAGTCATATTTGGAGTAATATATACAACAGATACATTTACTCTACTGGCACTACATTTTTCGGCAAGTTATAGTACTTTAACGTAAGTATGATTTTTCAATACTCTTTTCACCACTGCTTGCATCCAATTGAAATGGACCTGAAATGTAAAATAAAGTAATGCGGTGCATGATTTTGTCCTTTGGGAACCAATTGGATCGTTGGAAAATATAGGATGATTTATGAATGGATGAAAGAGGGGCAGATAGCCTGATGGTCCCATCTTCGAGATGGTGCAACTGACCCAAAGTGAAGATAGATCATTTCAAAGATCAAAGTGAAGATAGAGGGAAAGTTATGGTTTTTGATTAAAGATAATGAGGGCAAATAGACATGGTAGCCCAGCGGTTAGTGCATCGACATATAGCACTCAGGGTGTCCCGACTTCAAATTCCTTGGACCTTTTCCAGTCCTGCCCCCCACTCCACTTCCTGTCATCCCTCTGAGTGGATAACGAGGGCATTTCAGGATAAACCACTGTAAACTACAGTTAATATTACCATTTCAAATGGAATTTTCATGAAAATTGTGACTGAATTACCAGATTTTGAAAACACTTTAAATCTTGTAACATTAGCTAATCATAAAAAAAGCTTTGTTAAAATCACATCACCTGTATGTATGTGTGTGTGTGTATATATATGTGTATATATATATGTGTATATATATATATATATATATATATATATATATATATATATATATATATATATATATATATATACATACATACATACATACATACATACATACATACATACATACATACATACATACACCTGTCTCCAAAAAGGAATGTGTGGCGAAAAATTGCTACATGAATTTGCCCATCATCATCCCAGTGGCTCAGTGGGTAGCACAATCACCTCACAGCAAGAAGGTCACTGGTTAGAGTCTCAGCTGGGTCACTTGGCATTTCTGTGTGGAGTTTGCACGTTCTCCCCTTGTTCGTGTGGGTTTCCTTCAGGTGCTCCGGTTTCCTCCTCAAGTCCAAATACATGTGCTATAGGTAAATTAGGTAGGCTAAATTGTCCATAGTGTATATGTGTGAATGAGAGTGTATGGATGTTTCCCAGTCATGAGTTGAAGCTAGACGGGCATCTGCTGCATAAAACATATGCTGGGTAAGTTGGTGGTTCTTTCCGCTGTGGCGACCCCAGAATAATATAGGGACTAAGCCGAAAAGAAAATGAATGAATGAATTTGCCCATTGTTGCACAACTTAAGACTTTTTTGCAGGATGAATGGGACATCTAAAACACTTCATCATTTGCTGTCTTCAGTCCCTAAACATCACAAGTGTTGTGAAAAGGAATGGGGAAAATAACGATGGGCACAGATACATTGTTTAAAAAAAGAAAGTAAAGTTTGTTTTCATGCAGACTTCAAGATTTCTTACTTGCTGTAAGGGTTTTATCAATCTTCAGCAGAAAGGAAAAAACATTCTGAAAATGATCCCAATCAACCTGGACAGTATGTCTCTGGTCTGACCTGCATTCTGTTTTTATATTTACAATGTTTGTTGAGTTACATCTTTATTATTTTCTTAATAACTATTCTTAGTGTGAACAGACCTTAAAATGCATGAAGTTGCTTTGGTTCTCTTTGGTATTTTGCTCATTTACAAGTAAATCAAGCATAAAAGGAACGGAATTTTCCAATGTTTATCAAGATGAATCATCACAGGGGACATTTCACTGATAGGAGATGTGCTGCCTTTGAGCGTAGCAGGGCCAGCTGGTCCCACAGTTTGACTTATTCTTGTAACAGAGTCGTTTCTGCAGTGTCAGGATCACGAATAACATACTGGCACAGCAGATTACCGCCGGTTGTGCTCACGATCAAGAACATCAGCTACTTTTATCTCAGAATAAAGCTGATTAAAGAGTCCAGGAAGAAGCTCCAGAAGGAAAATATCAAATCTTGTAAATGGTCGGTTTTAACCTTTTTTGGGGAGGGCATAAACAAACAACCCTTTCAGTCAGTCATTACCCTGCACTGGTAACAGCTTGAGCTTCACAGATAGCGTTGCTCTTAAAGAAAAAAAGCACCTGGACTGACCACACAAAAAAGCCATTGAGCAAACATTTTGCGTCCCTCAGCGGTTGACGTTAACCTTGACAGCACTTGGCTATCGCTACATAAAGCCATAACCAACATCCCTAATGGCAAAATCCCAAACAGCCATAATTTCCAGCAAAAGCCGGCGAAGGAAGAGCTGTCACATGCTTGGTAAATAAGTCATGAAAGCTGAAATATGCTTATGGATTAAAGGTCACTTTTCTCCAGCGAGTCGTTTATGCTCAATTAACTTTGGAAATCTGCTCAAATCGCGCTGTAATTCAATATAAGACCATAAAGGTTTAAATTTATAACATTGTCGGTGAGTACATAAGCATATCTATGATTAAATATGTGAGAACAGATGCTGGAGTCGTCTGATTAGACGCGCAAGAAACTGGAGAGGGAAAACAAGTTAAAACAAGCATGAAATCAAATGGAGTGCAATCGGCGCCTATGACGACAGAGCCGGTCATATCTAAATGGGAAAGGTGTGACCGGCCGACATATAGACAATATTTGCTTTGTGCACGCATGATGGTAATATTTCTTCATACAAGAAGTCGGCTGATGGACCATTGTTTCAGTCATTTGCTGTATACTTTCATGTGCATTACAGCATCGATGATTTTGTGGTCCACAGAGCGCAAACACATGACAGTAATAATAAGACGATGCCACAATGATATACAATATGACTGTGCAGTGCGTCATTAGTTGAAGTTTAAGAGCAAAGCTGATTCATTCAACCCTCTTGCGCACAGCGTCCTCCTGGACAGCGTCCTGTATTTACAATATTATCAAGAGTGTGACTGATTATTTACAATAATGGCATGCTAATACAATCATTTACATTTAATAACAAGATGAATAGTGTCTGCCTGCTGCAGGAATTAAAGTAGTGTGCCAACTCTAGTAACACTGTAGTCATTTATATGAAATACTATAGTGTTTTTGAATATAACGAATGCTACAGAATAATAAAAACTATTGTACAAACTAGTAAGTACTGTACAACAACTACAGTAGGGCTGACTAAACTGTGGTGTAATTTTATTTCAAATAAGGAAAAAAGACAAAGTTTCCTACCCCATTGGCAGATTATTGTTGTTTGCTATTTTGATCATTTGGATTTGAAACATGACAAAAACTCAAAGAAGAAAAGCTTTCTTTGCAGTGCAGTTGAGGAAAAGTACAGTATTGGGTCATTTGTTTGTTACTATACCTGCTCAATTCAATAAATTATGTCTCTCCCACTGGGGTTAGAAAAATTGTCTGTGCAATTGTTGCGCAGTAGGTAGTGCTGTCGCCTCACAGCAAGGTTGCTGGTTCGAGCCTCTGCATTTCTGTGTTTGCATGTTCTCCCTGTGTTTGCGTGGGTTTCCTCCGGGTGCTCTGGTTTCCCCCCACAGTCCAAAGACATGTGGTACAGGTGAATTTGGTAGGCTAAATTGTCCGTAGTGTATGAGTGTGTGTGTGGATGGATGTTTCACAGAGATGGGTTGCGGCTGGAAGGGCATCCGCTGTGTAAAAACGTGCTGGATAATTTGGTGGTTTATTCTGCTGTGGCGACCCCGGATTAATAAAGGGACTAAGCCGACAAGAAAATGAATGAATTATTTTCAAAATCATATTTAAAAACAATGGCAGTCAGAATAAATGTCTTCTTGTACTTAGCCTTTTTTTTTGCTAGGGTTCTTATACTGTCTGCCAGACGGAAGTAAATTAAAGGAATCATGTATCCGACCTGCAACTTACGTCAAAAACATAGCAAGATGGAGTCAAGTATTAAGAAAAATAAATAAATGCAAATCTCCGAAAATCGCATAGAGAAAATTAAGTTTTGAGAACTAAAGATGAAATTAG